CAAAAATACATACCTTACCATCAAGACATTCTGCAATATCACTAATAAAATATTAAAGAGAATGGGTCCAAGTATGGATCCCTGAGGTACCCCACTGGTGACAACTCCAAGCTTCGAATATATTCCATTGACTACAACCCTCTGTTGCCTGTCACTCAGCCACTGCTTTACCCATTCAACAATATTGGAATGCGCGGCAATCCAGTTGATACCGTCTGTTACGGCGCATACGCAGCAGATTTGCCTGTAGCTATTGTGGGCATTTTCCAGTAGCTTTTATGGTGTCATATATGGTCAGTAGCGATTTCACATGCGCGATTTCGCTCGCGCATTTACTCGTTATAATTTGATCACTGATGGCCATCAGCTGTATGGGGATATATAAGGAGATATTGGTAAGCTATGATACAAACACCCTTGAAAAAGGCAGCCAGGAGGTGCCAAAATGTTGGGGGATATTAGGGGCTAGGGTATCTGCCATAATAGGATTTGAGAATTGTGGTAATTATATATATATATATATATATATATATATATATATATATATAAGAATTTGCGGCCTGCGGTGCATTTCTTGCAGTCCTGATGCATGGAGAAATGCTCAACACTTGATGCATGGAGAAAAGGCCTTCACAAGCCTCTGCTAATGTGTACATAGTTTATACTAAGTGACCCATAGGTTGAGGAGGCGGTGACCGTGGCGGTGTAGGTGGAAGCAGTGGTGGGGGAGGAGGATGAGGTAGCCAACACTGTTTTTTTATTTATATATATTTTTTAATTGGGGTAGCCCCCAAAATATTGGGACATATAAAAAAAGACAACTCTGTTCCGCAGAGTAGCTGTTGACATTATAGTTGCGCGGGCACTTTGCTGACTCTATAGAACCTCGGGCTAATCGCACATCCCCGTGACGGTGACTTTTCATTCGGATGTCATCCATATCAACTTTCTATGCCAGTTTCTGTGCCTACCATGGTGACCACGGGTAACATGGAATCAGGGTTCGATTCTGTACAGGGACCCTGAGAAACGGCTACCACATGCAAGGAAGGCAGCAGGCGCGCAAATGACCCACTCCCGACGCGGGAAGGTAGTGACGACAAATAAAAATACAAGACTCTTTAGAGGTCCTGTAATTGTAATGAGTCCACTTGAAATTCTTTAACTCTGATCAATTGGAGGTAAGTCTGGTGCAGAGCCACTGACCCGTGCGTGCTGCAGCTGAAACTCCACTATCACCTGCTGCTACTCGCACAGTCTCAGGAGGTGGTGAGCGGGAAGGCCGAAGTTACGCTGCAGCACAGACAGGCGAGCAGCAGCAGGGTGAGAACGCCAAAAGTGCACACAGCCACTACAGTGAATGTCACATCCTGTTCCAAGTTGCGGATCAGTCTGGTGATGGCTTCTGGTATCCAGTACTCTTTTTTTACTGAAGCTGCATCAGGGTTCTGGTATGTGGCCGCACAAACGCTGGTGCTCAAAACCAGGGGGCATGTGGTTACCCTACACCAGACACTGCTAATCCATTCCACACTGTGATTCCTAACTTCAACATCAGGCATACTGGGTCCCGGTCGTCCGACCGCCACCCAGACAGTATCTGGGTCCTGGTCACCGGACTGCCCACCTGACTGTAAAACTACGAATGGATTGTTAAATCTGGTACGAACCTGAACTTTGCAGTTCGGGTTCGCTCAACTCTATTATGGATCATTTGATCGCTACATGTATTACTTGGATAACTGGTAATTCTCGAGCTAATACATGCCGATGAGCATTGGGGACAGCCGCTCTGCTTTTGCACCCTGCTCCCTCTTATGCTGTGGTGGTGCCTGTATGCTACCAGCGCCTCTTCCTCCAAACTGCACACGTCACTCGTATGACCTTGATTCCATGTGGGGTCTAGGACCTCATCATCCTCCACATCATCTTCCACCCACTCCTCAACCCTGCCCTCCTTGCCGGTATGCACACTGCAGAAAGCCACAGCAGTTGGCACCTGTGTTTTTCCAGCATGTAAAGTCTGCAAAGGACATATGGAAATTGTTTTAGAATTGTATCCAGGCAACAGTTTTCCCTTTAAACTGACCTCTTAGTTTGATTTGTGAGGGTATAGCTATTGATAACTGGTTTAAATATAGCAGCTTGTTATCTGGTAGTTTCTAGTGTAGAAAATATCAATCTGTTTTCTATCACTTAGATCTGTGTAACAAGTGTTGTAAGTGTGAAACAATATTACAAGTGACCGATGTAGTAAATTCGAATCAAAGTTCCATTTGCAAAAAAAATTCTCGCCCATATTCTGTGGGTTATTGCATTTTTAAGATGTAGATTTATTGTATCACACTAGCCATGCACAGGTAGATTGTCTGCCACGTTATTTTGGTGTTTGGTTTTTAACTTTGTAGTTGTGTCTTTACACAATATAGAAATGTATATTAATGCTTCTGTAAATGAAGCGATCACAATAAAACTTATTTTTCACTTAAAAAAAAAAAAATCAGACTAAACAAAAATTGGTAATTAACAATATGACATCTGAAAAGCACATGAAAGGATGCTGTATGATTTTTTTTTTTTTTTTTTTTTTTTTTATAAAGAACACACTACATGAAGGTCCTGTTCACTAGAGTGTGTAGTCATGAATGTAACCAGTCAAACTTTGTTTTTACAGCCACTGGTTGGCCCATACATATTTTAAAACTTGTTTAATTTTGTTGTAGCATGACTTGTAGATATGAAGAGCAGGCCCCAAAATGTACTATTTAGCAGATTATCAGCAAAACAATTAGACTGTTTACCACTGCGCTATAAGCGCACTATTAAATGCTTCTATTTGACTCTCAGATACGAAGTGCACCGCAGGCCGCAAATGTACTATTTAGCAGATTAGCACCAAAAATTGACTTTTTAACGTATTGGTTAATGTACTAGTTTGCAGAATTCTTTCCTAAGCTGTCCCTATCAGCGGCAGCATCCTCTCCCTACACTAATAAAACCTCATGTGCGTGCGGCGCTACGCTACTCTAGCTTATATATAGAGGCTGGGTCACATGCTGCACTGGCCAATCACAGCCATGCCATTAGCAGGCATGGCTGTGATGGCTTCTAAGGGCACACGAGTCAAACGCTTGTTGATTGGCTGCCCTGCAGCCTTTGAAAACTCGCCATTAAATCGCCGAACACCGAACTCCAACCCGAACATACAGTGATATGTCCGTGCTCAGGTCTGGGGTACAAAAAAACGTAATGTTCAGTACGAACCCGAACTTTACAGTTCGGGTTCGCTCAGCTCTAGTGATAACAAACGTAACATATATGTCTATTTTTTCATAGGTAGAAATGAAGCCTTTTAAAAAAAAATCTGATACAAAAACAAGACAATGTGCAACAAAATAACAGATATTCTGCCAAGTACCACATTTATCAAGGACATTACTCCTGCCATCTGCAGTTTTTGGCATCATAACATAAAATATTCCCAAAAAAGTATAAAACACCCATTTAGTATTTCATAGGAAGCTTCGTTATTAACACAGATAGTGATGCTGAGCTGTTTATAAGCCTCCAAAAGATATTCATTAAAAAGAAACTCCAGGTTTTAAATTGGACAGCCTCCCATGTTAATATATTGTTATTTTAAAGGGATCCTCAAGACCCCTAACATATGTCAGCTTCCAAAGTTCTCTATGCGTGAAGTGTGCCTTTTTTTTTTTCATTTAAAAAAATTCTATAGAATTTGGAACTTTTATAAATTAACCTTGTTACAACCCTCTGACTGTCAATCAGACAACCAGTCCTGTTAATTCCTGGTTTGCTTTGCTCATTGGAGCTAAACCCAAGAAGCAGCAATTGCCCAGAGCGCCTGCCTTGCAAAGACTTCTCATTCAACTGCATTGGGAGGTCTGTGATTGGACAGTCAGAAAGTCAGGGCAGGGTTAGAAGAGGAGGGCTTGCAAAGGCTGCAGACAGTAGATCTGCAACTGTTTTAGATATAACAACGGTGAAAAAAATACAGCAATAAATGCATGCCTGTCTTCATTTGGGATATATATACTAAATCTATATATAAATGTATTTACTTGTTTGTGCATTTAACTCCATTGTAGAGAGAACTGTAGGAATGAGTGTTTATAATCCATTATCACTGCAGAGCCGGTATTCTTTTATATGTAGGTCCCCGGCTGGGGTAATCACGTACTAAATTCCCGTAATGGGAAGGCGCATGACTCATGTTTTGTCTTGCAGAGTCAAGGGACTTGCTAAGTTCAAGTAAATTATTTCAAATACATATTATAGCACCTGCCTGCAAATGCTAGATATGAATATTTTCCATTAGTACATTTTTATTTGTCTACATGAGTGGGTGAGAAAAGAGGAACTTGAACGACCAGGCAGGTTTATGACCTTCCTGCACAAAATAATTTCTCTGTTTGTCTCTAGTAGGTTCTGTATTACACGTCCTCCTAGTCGCCGGTCACTGTAATTAACAGTGCAACAGCAAAAGAAAATCGCAATGCCGACATGGAGAATCTCATAACCCTCTTCATTAAAAATCAAATACTATCAGAGTGAAAAGTTTTCAAATTTAAGGTCAAAATAGCTAAACTAAAACCATTCTCTAAGTCAGTGGTGCTTTCAGTTCGATTCTGGCCTAAAATGTGAAATTCACTTTGAATTCTCACTTTAATAAATTAACCCTGTTTGATTTTTTTTTCATATTACAATTACATTAAAGGGCCACTATAGTCACCTAAACAACTTTAGCTTAATGAAGCAGTTTTAGTGTATTCACTGCTCAATTCACTTTGTTTCTGTTTATGCAGCCCTTGTCACACCTCCCCTGGCTCTGATTGACGCAGCCGATTGACTGTCATTTCAATTTGGTAGTTAACTCAGAGTTTCTTCACTTTACTGTGAATTGTAGTGAATTTTATTACGACCTTCTCATCTCTCAATAAAAACCTTTTGAGGTGTATTAAATAATGGAGAAGTCATATATGAATTAAAAAAAACTATACCAAAACCGCCAGCTTAGCATAGGAACGTGATTTAGGAATAATGCAAAAAATGCTCAGCTATTTTGCTGATATTTTGCAATTCGATTTTCATTACCCCACCGTTCATTCCACCGTTCATTGATTCCTAATTAAACTCAATTGTTTTCTAAGACTGGCCACCATCAAATGCCTCTTTCCAACCATACAATTTGGAAAATAAAAGTGCCAAGTGGGTGTGTGGTGTTTGTCCTCCTCTCTGTGTCTGACAGCTTACGCTAATACCACTGGCCCCAAACAAGAAAGTGAATGTCGCAATATGTTCCAGGAACACCTATTTTGTGTATTTATCTTACAAAATAATCTCTCTTTCTCTGACCTCTAATTCCAGTTCAGTAACCTGTTTAAAGGAGTGTTCTCCTCCACCAATAGAAATGACCCATAGGATCGGCTTTGACACACTGTTATTTCATGGCAAACAGGTAAAAACAGGATGGCTATTTCTTGTACACAGTTTGTATCTGCTCATCTTGGGGAAAAAAACATGTTTGTCTTCAGCTAAAGCACAGATGTATGCATATTTTATTGTAAACACACGTCTGTTTGCTTCAAATGTTTTTGTTTTTTTAGCAATATTGTGGAATTTGTTGTTTTCATATCATCTGTCTGTCTATCCTTCTCTGTCTATCAATCTATCTGTAAGTCCATCCATCTCTGTCTGCCCAGCTTTCTGTCTGTGTCTCTCTCTCTGTTTAGCTCAATGATTTCCAATTGAACAGAGAATAAAGAGCTCTCATGGGGTCTTGTTATAAAAAATGTTGCTTTAATGAATTTTCCGTGCACAGGTGCAAGATAATGAATAGATAATACTTTCAAATTTAAACCTTTTTATTAATGGAATGTTTAGGGCACAAATATGCAACAAATAGCTTATGCCTAGACATATCTTTGTTGTCTTAAACCTTAAAACTCTAAGCAGCATACTACAAGCCTTTGAAGTGTTTATGGTGTTAGTAGGCTATGGTATTTCATTTCAAACATATACTGATACAATTTTTTTTTGTAAGGAAATTCACTTTCTCCCCAGTTAAATGTGATTGTT